AAGGGAAAAGAGCTATCATAAAATACGACAAAATCATTTTACTTGAAAATAATAAAAAAAATATCCAGAATGGCAAAAAAAACTCAAAATAAAAAAGGAACCTATCAGAATCTCCAGAGACGGCAACAAACACAACAAACTTTATGAACATAGAAAAACAGAACCAAAAACAACCTGCTAAGATAAACAAGACTAATAACATAAGCAATTATATTATAAGAAAACCTACGCTCACATTACCAGACAATTCACAAAGAAGCCTCCCTAATCAAAATTCAAAATAGCAACTAACGCCGCCTCCTCTCGAACTCCCAACACGGCTAGTCATCGCGGAAGCTCTAGACTATAACCCTCCAGCATGCCAACAACAAGATCTTTACAAACAAAACCTTTACATTTGTACATACAATGTAAAATCCCTATTATCACCGCAAAGAATGCTACTGCTACAATACTCTTTAGAGAACATTAAATATGATATTATTGGACTAGCAGAAGTCAGAAGAAATGGAAATAATATCATTGAGGACGATCAGTATATATTCTGTCACACTGGTGAGCCCAAAGGACTCCATGGATTCGGATTCTTAATTAAGAAAAAATACAAAAATAATATTGAAAATTACATAGGCATATCCGAAAGAGTTTGTCTGCTGAACTTGAACTTTGTAACAACGAAACTTTCACTTATACAAGTTTACGCACCCACCTTAGATGCAACTGAGGAAGAGATTGATGCCTTCTATGACCAAATAGAAAATGCCCGAAGCCTTGCAACCGGAAAGTAATATTATTGGGTGACTGGAATGCAAAGATAGGTAAAAGAAAACTCGAAGAAAACACAATAATAGGCCCATACTGCTACGGTGAGAGAAATCATAGAGGCAAAAAACTTGTTCAATATGCTCTTAAAAATAAATTTACCATAATAAGCACAATATTTAAGAAAAAAAATCAAGAATCTTTGGACATGGATAACACCAGACAAACAAAACAAAAACCAAATAGACTTTATTTTGAGTAATCACTCAAAACTCTTTACCAACACAGAAATCCTAAACAAACTCTCCTTCCCAAGTAATTATAGACTTTTGAGAGGAACAATAACTCTAAATACACAAACAAAAGCCGAGCTACCTTTTATACAATCCCAGTAACCAACTTATCTGACGAGAAATCACAAGAAATATTCCTTCATGCCCTAAGAACAAAAATTGAACAACTGAGCTGGGAAGACAATGATGACATAGAGTCATATTATTTCAAGATAGAGTCATCCATACAAGAAAGTTTAAAGAATACTTCTCCTATTAAAACAAAGAAAGAAATAATATCAGAAGAAACTAAAAACCTAATTAAAAAACGCACCGATCTACAATATAAATCCTCCAAATCAAAAGAAGAAAAAAAAAGAACTTTCAGAACTATACAAAATTACAAACAAACTACTTAAAAAAGAATACGATAATTACAGGATAGAAATAATTGAAAAACATTTACACTCCACTGGAAGCCAAAAGAAAGCACATAAACAATTAAATACAGGGAAAAAATGGATCCCAACATTGAAGACAAAAATAAGCCAAAAGAACAACAAACTAGGAAAGACCTTGTAAAAATTGCCTCAAACTTCTACGAAGAGCTGTACGATGATAAATCTGCCGATAATAAAAGCTACGAAAAGTCTTCAAAAACAGGAGATAGAAATCAGACAACTCAACCTTTCCACAGCGCCGAAATAATAAAGACAATCAAAAAATTGAAAAAAGATAAAAGTCCTGGGGCCGATAATATCCCAAACGAAGCTTTGATACTAGGAAGACATCTATTGTTAGGTCCGCTCACTACTCTCTTTAATAAAATACTTGAAAAACCAGAAATACCGATCAATTGGGCAAGGTCACGGATAACTCTTATATACAAAAAGGGAGATCCAGAGGACATAAATAACTACTGACCTGTTAGTCTACTGCCTACAATTTATAAGTTGTTTGCTATGTTTTCTGAAAAACTAGAAATGATGGGCATAAGGGACAAACAGTTAAAACTACTTATGGATTGTTTACATAATCGAACACAGAGCGTTCGGATAGGTAACATAGTAAGCGATGAACAACCCATTAGTTACGGCATCCCACAAGGCAGTATACTTGACCCAACGCTGTTTTTGTGCTACATTAATGAACTTTGTGACTTAAATATAAAAAATTGTAAAATAATATCGTATGCCGATGATACTACACTAACTTTTTATGGGGATTCATGGGAAGAGGTTTTTAACATTGCACAAGAAGGTTTTAATACCGTTTGTCAGTGGCTAGCCATAAATTCACTTTCACTTAATGTTGATAAAACCAAATATATTACGTTCTCTATTCGAAAATTACCAAAATATATTAGCAATTATAAAATTATAGCTCATTCATGTTTTCAATTTCCTAGTTCAAACTGCAACTGCTTTAATATAATAAATACACAAGAAATCAAATATTTAGGAATAACAATAGATAACAATCTTAAATTCAAAGCACACATAAGAAATTTAACCCAAAGAGTCAGAAAACTAACGTACATTTTTAAAAACTTAGGACATGTCACAAACTGGATATTGCTAAAAACTGTTTATATATCCCAATGTGCCAATCTATATTAACTTACGGTATTACTGTTTGGGGAGGTTCCAATAAAACACACATGCTTGAATTGGAAAGAGTTCAACGAATGATTTTAAAAGTTGCACTTTATAAACCAAAATTTTTTTCAACAACCAGTTTATTCAATGAAGCTAACGTGCTTACAGTACGAAAATTATACATATTGTATTCAATTTTAAAAAAACACACTTGCACTGTGTATACACCCAATTTACTACAAACTAGGAGAAGAAATTATGAGGTATGTGAAACGATACAAGCAAAATCTACTTTCGCCCAAATGTTTTATGGGTACAGAATAGGCAGGTTATATAATAAGGTTAATAAAAAACATTCAATTTTTCAACTAACAAAATATAAATGTAAGAAAAAATTAACAGATTGGCTTATGAAACTAGATTACGAAGAAACAGAGAATTTACTGTAAAAAGCGGAATAGTGAGAAACACACTCACACACACACACAAACACACACACACACTCTCTCTCTCACACACACACACACACACACACACACACACACACACACACGCACGCACGCACACGTATATATGTATGTTTGATATATATATATATATATATATATATATATATATATATATATATATATATGTATGTATGTATGTATTTATATATGTGTATGTATATTTATATAAAATTTTGATTATATACTTTTATTATTATCATTTAAAACATATTGCATATTATATTTATTCTGTATGACTTTAATTGTAAATTACACTTTGGAAATCTCATATCCGATCTCCACATGCAACGCTCAATTCATGTCTAAGAACAGTATAATCGAAAAGTATGTAATAAAGCCAAGAGGGGGAGCCAGGAGACCCATAGCACAGGGTAACCTAGTTTGGGCTCCTGTCTCCCACTACTACTCAAAAACTCTTTAACTACTTATGAAACTATTGTAATTATGTAAAAAGTGGGAGAAAATAAATGTTTAAATGTTATGTGCCTGGAGAAAAGAATAGAGCCAACTATAGAAAAGAACCAACCGGTAGAACAGGCTGGCTTTCGCCAAGGGTACTCAACAATGGATCATATACATACCTTAGATCAAATAATTGAAAAATATGTAGAATACCAGGAAAACTCTATATAGCATATGTTGACTACGCAAAAGCGTTTGACTCTATCTCGCATAAAAGTATCTGGGACGCATTGGAGCATCAGAACCTTCACTCTACATACATCAATATTTTTTTTAAAAACGTTACCCCTACACTAAGATTTTCTCTTGTATCGTAGGGGCAGTTTACAAATATAAATTGCACAAGGACAAACATCCAGACCCGGCACAACTATTTGTAGGCCATACAAATATTTGTTCCGTGCGGGATTCGAACCCGCGACCCCCAGCGCAGCCACTCATTGCTAAGCCACTGCGCCACGGAGTCGTCGAATGTCAAGGATATATATAGAAAAGCACAAGTCGGGTTAAACTGGACAGGCTAGGCCAAGAATTTAATATTCGTAGAGGCGTGAAACAGGGAGACCCGCTATCACCAAAGATCTTCATTGCTGTCTTACAAAATATAATGAAAGACCTAGATTGGGATCAAAAAGGAATAAATATAGATGGGAATAACCTCAGTAACCTGAGATTCGCCGACGATATAGTACTTTTTGCTAAGTCATCAAAACAACTTCAGGAAATGCTGATAGAACTAAGCGCTGTTAGCGAAAATATTGGGCTACAACTTAACACCTCAAAGACAAAGACAGCTACCAACGGCACTAAAGATATCATAATAATAAACCGAACAACAATGGAGTACGTAGAGAACTATACATACCTTGGAAAAAAAATTTCATTCCAAAACACAAGACACCTAGACGAAATAGAAAGGCGCATTAACATGACGTGGAAAAAATACTGGAGTAACAAGGAAATATTAAAATCAAAAATCCCAATAAGACTAAAGAAGAAAGTGATGGATTCGAGCCTCCTGCCCTGCTTAACATACGGTGCCCAAACCTGGATCTTTAACAAAAAAAATATGTCAAAAATACGTGCTTGTCAACGGGCCATGGAGAGGAGCATCCTCGGTATAAAAATTTTAGATAAAGAAAATTGTGAAAAAATAAGACAAAAGACCCAAGTGATAGACGCACTGAAACATGCTCTACTTTAAAATGGAAATGGGCAGGACACATCGCCCGCTCCTCTGCAGACAGGTCCCGTGCGAGCCCGGTTAAAGACGTTAGCACCAACTACGAAGATTCGCTTTGCAAACTGGAACATTGGCACCCTTACGGGACGCTTCACAGAACTTGCGGCGTAAAGTGGCAGTGGCATTCCTGCAGGAGACACAGTGGAAGGCCAACATGAGCCGGAATATTGGGCACGGCTACGAGCTGATCTATACAGGCTCTTCTGGTGGGGAGAACGGTGTGGCAGTGGTGCTTGCCGAGCATTTCCACGATAGCATCTTGGAAGATAGACGCATATACGACCGACTTATGGTAGTAAGGTTGCTTGTTGAGGGGGTCGTGACCCACTTAATAAGTGCCTACGTCCCACAGGTCGGCTGCAGCGACGCGGATAAGACGCTGTTTTGAGATCGGCTCGGAGGTGTACTACGCGGCATACCGTTGTCCTACGATGTCGTGTTGGGTGGCGGCCTGAACGGTCATGTGGGTGAGGTGTAGGGGGAGTATGAACGTGTCCAAGGCGGCTATGGTTACGGCCGAAGAAACGCAGAGGGGGAAACCATTCTCAGAACCTGCACTGCAGCCGACTTGGCCGTCGTGAACACGTTCTTCAAAAAGAAAACCGAGCACCTGATTACCTACAGGAGCGGTCGGAACGCCACTCAAATCGACTATCTACTGACCAGGAAAAGTCATATCAGTCGCGTGGCCAACTGTAAGTTCATACCCGGTGAGTGTCTCACTGCCCAACACCGACTTCTTGTCATGGACCTCTGCGTAAAACCCCGTCGCAGACACGCCGAACGTTGCCACCGTCAAATCAAGTGGTGGCTGCTGGATCAAACCAGATACTCAGAGTTTAACTTTGCCGCTGGGGATATTAGTCTCAACACAGCAGGCAAGTCCGTCCAAGAGTGCTGGAAAATCATTCAGACAGCAATCACAAAGACGGCGAAGCAAGTCCTCGGCGTGGCGAAAGGGAGTCGCAAAATCGACAAGGAGACCTGTTGGTGGGACGCCACAGTCCATAGTTCATTACGGGAGAAGAAAGCGCTCTTCAAGACGTGGCAAGCGACCAAATCTCCTGAAGATCTGCCAAGAAAGCTATAGCCAGAGCCAGGCGTGACTAATTGCAACCATTATATGCTAAGTTGGGCACTCCTGAGTGGCACAAGCTCATATATAAACTGGCGCGCTCTGGGACCAAAGCAGCGCAGGATATTACTCGCTGCTGCAGCGTCAACGGCCCTAACGGCGAGCTCCTGTACGATGATCGTGCGTTGAAGGAGAGATGGCGCTCTTATTTCCACGTTTTGCTGAATACTCAGCACCGGGAAGTGCACCCTCCCGAACAACTCCCGAACCATGGACTCGTGCCACCGATTACGCCTGACGAGGTCCTCGCAACTCTTCGTCACATGGAGAATCGGAAAGCTGTCGGACCGGACGAGGTGCCAATTGAAACGTGGAAAGCGCTGGGGGCTCGTGGTGCGTGCATTCTTACTAACCTTTATAATAGAATCCTGAGCGACCGAATAATGCCCGATCAGTGGCGGCTTAGTATAATAACGCCAGTCCACAAGGGTAAAAGGTCCGTTTAAGATTGCGGTAATTACCGCGGTATAAAGGTGACGTCATACACCATGAAGCTCTTCGAGCGCATTATTGACACCAGGATCCGACAGGAGTGTACAGTATCGGACTCCCAGTACGGTTTCCAACCAGGACGCGGTACCATGGACCCTATATTCGCCCTAAGGATCCTCATAAAGAAGCATAGGGAAAAGAATATGCCTCTACATTTTTTATTCCTAGACCTGCAGAAGGCCTTTGACTGTGTTCCTAGGGAGATGATCTGATGGGCGTTGCGGTCGAAGTTGGTACCAGAGACCTATGTGCAAATCGTATGTACCGCAACTCCAATTCAATAGTCAGGACCACTCTTGGTGATACAACCCCCTTCCCCATAACCGTAGGCGTGCATCAGGGCTCCGTCTTAAGCCCCTATCTCTTCAGTGTAATATTACACGAACTGTCAGCCAGCGTACAGAAACTACCGCAGCCTTGGCTGCTTATGTACGCTGATGATATCGCACTGGTAGATGGGGACAAAGGACGACTCACCCGACGCGTGCACGTATGGAGGGAGGTGCGTGAGAACGGCGGGCTGAAGCTAAATGTGGCGAAGACGGAGTATATGGCCTGCAACAGCACAGATCTGACGTCTTTCCGTATAGACGACGACACCGTCGAGCGCACGGACCACTTCAGGTACCTCAGATCTGTGCTTGATGCGTCCGGGGACATTGATCGCGATATCAAGGCCCGTATATCAGCGGCCTGGCCGAAATCGAATAATCGCGTCATTTCGCCCAGGCCGCTACCTGGTACCAGGAGTAGAGGATGGCCCAAGAAACGCTGGCTTCATGTCGTGCAGGATGACATGCGCGCCAATGGGCTAGTTGCGAGGGACGCCGAAGATCGGGCAAAATGGAGGAGGAAGTGTAGGAAAGCGGACCCTAGGTTCTCCCGCGCTGGGTGGGATGAGCAACCGGGATAAACGCTAGGTAGAAGAAGAAGAAGATATATAGAGAGATATTAAATTTTATTCTGTTCGTTTTAACTATCTCCAATATAAATTAAATTTTATAAATGCTATTTGCAAACGAAATAAAAAAAAACTTCTGATATAAAATAAGAATTTTGTCTAATTTTACGTACCTATTAACTAAGCAAATAAAAACTTGAATTAATAATATGCACGTCATTATTAATTCTAAATTTTAAACTAAAGAGAACAAATGCGTCAGGGCGGCACGATGGAATCTTCCCCGCTCCAAGAAGTTTGAGATATTGAGTATATAGAATGCCTACAATGATATCCTTTTATATATATATATATATATATATATATATATATATATATATATATATATATATATATATATATATATATATATTTCGCAGGTATATTGCCAAAGCCGTGATATTACAATTTCACTAGTGATATTTTTAATTAAACGGTGGATTATCAATTGACTTCATTTCTTACAATCTAACGGGCCCGGTCGACGGAGCCTATGGTTCCTACTTCTGAGTGGTTTATAAAAATATAACCAACTTCTTCTAACCTAACCAGTCCGAGTCGGGATGCACTAAATCCCGAGCTCACTTCTTTAAAAAATTAATAAAAAATACGTGTGGAACTCAGTGACTGCCGCGGTAAAGCTATTGCATAGCATTTTTTATCAACTTATGTAATTATAATTATTTATTTATTTTATTTATGCAGTTAAGTCTTTGATATTAAATCAAGTTACACTTTTTGAGCGTGGTGACCGATAAGAAAACAATTTTTTTTTCTCTTATTGAATAAATGAGAAGTTAATATTTTTTTAAATATTTTTAATATCTTACAATACATGTAGGTTATTTAGGAATTTTTATCATTCAGTTAGCAGCTAGTGTACACGCATACGTCTAGTCGCACGCACACAAACACCGTGCCGAACTCTGCCGAGTGCCGAAGTCGGCCGAACTAAAACGACGTTAGACGATGCACGGCTTTCAACGCCACACCTCCGTGCCCGTCGGAGTGGGGAGCGTGAGGTTTTTTTCGTTATGGAATTTCTGGATTCGGTCCCCGCGCTCAAGGCCCGCGATAGAAGCTACGCAATAGCTTAACAAGACTTACCTATTTCGTCGACGTAGGGTCAAACCTAGGAAGATTCAGGTGTAAGTATATGTGTGTGATAGTGTTATGCTCAGTACGTGTTATATTATGTAACCTGACTTCCCGCTGGTTGCCGAACAGCAGATCTCAAGGCTTCACCTTTATTCCAGTATGGGATCCATCGAAAGGGCAAGCCGTCATAGAAACTTCAGAGTCTAGAAAATTACGCTCGTTTATTACTCATTAATTATAGTTAAGTCAATTGTCATTAGGTTAATCCAATCAAATTCAACCAGATTTAACCGAACCCGCGTTATAACGAACTCACTATTTGTGAAAAATACTGTATCATCGGACCGCGTCGCAAAAAAGCTCAGATTCGCGCAGTACATACGTCAGGGCGGCCGTACTGCAATTATATTAACAAGACCCGCAACTACTCAGTTCCACGCTCCACGGCAAGATTTGTCACTTATTATTTATTGTCCAATTAATTGTCTTTAAATTCAAATGGCACGCTCTATTAACATAAGTCTAAGACAAAACAAGGAGACTTTCAATATATGAACAACCCGGCTTCGCGCAAAAACTCTCGCGACCCCTATAATGCGACCGGAGAACGTCATCGGCGCAGGCGCCGCGTGCCTAGCTAGGAGTGCGCCCTAGCGGCGGGCCGGGTGCAGCCCGGCCCCGCCGTCTGCTCCCTAGCTCGGCTCGATTCCAACAGGGGTGACCGACCGCGCGCACAAATGCAGCTAGCCTCCCCCTCCCGCACCTCACCAATCGTCGCTTCACACCGCTTGAGATAAGCTCTACTATCAGGCGCTAACAAACCCCCGTCCCGGACATAAGGACCTATGTCCGCGAGTAAATTGGCAATTAGAAGACGCTTTGTATTGTTGGTTTTTACAAAAATGATCAACTGGGCAAATGATATCTGGCCCTTTGCTTCGTGAAAAAGCATTACAGTTAAATAAAAAATTAGGTGACGGCGGCTCGTTTGTCGCAAGTAACGGATGGTTATATAGATTTATATCAAGAAAGAATTAATTTAATGTAATAGAATTAATATATTCATGGAATTTAATCAATGTTTATTAAAAAATAATAATTTCTTAATAAACATTGATTTTCGTTGAAATTGTTGTTTTTAATAAACACATATCATTATGTATGTACATATGTACTACAAATGCACTAAACCCGCTTTTCTTCATACATTCGATCATCCGGATTTTCGATTATCCGAATCCCTAAAGGCAACAATTAGTCCGGTTAATCGAGTATATATATATACATATTGAGAATCTAAATTGAGAATTTAAACTATACGCGTGTGTGTGTTTGTGTGTATATAAAGAGGGCTACTTTTAATATCGCTCATTTTAATATCAAAAATTTAGGGTATGTATATAGAGTACTCACTCATTTTCTTTCACTATTTTTTCGTGACTTTCTTCATTAAGGTGGCACAAGTCGCGGGCTCGAACTCATTGGTGGGCGCGGCCAAAAAGCACGTTGTCTCACCTGGCATCGTGCCCGACAGAGATGGTATCAGTGAAGAGCAGTTAGAACGCACGTCTTGTTCGTACGGCGTTCCGAACCGTCAGAACAAAAACGAAGTTACACGAACACGATGCACACATACATACCACCCTATTCTGTGCCGCTCGGCGCTTGCTGAGAAATCAGCAGTACCTACCTACAAACTCGTACTAAATTATTAGGTGCTGCG